CCAGGCTGGCCTGGCTCAGCCTCCCCTTGCTCCCTCCCCTCCGCTCCTGCAGGGCAGCCGACCCTTCCGCTCCAGTGCCTGGAAACCTGGACATTTCCCGGGAGCCATTCTTCAACTCTCTCCAGACTCCAGTCACAGGGAAGAAAATGCTAACACTGCGGGTAGTCAAGGAAGTTCTGGGATTTGCATTGAACGGGATTTTCAGAAGGAAGTTCCTGTTATTATTTCATATTATTTTAGTTCATGTAAATCCCACTACTAAAAACTTGGAATTAAATAGAATCTGTACAGTCTTGCAACAGAACGACAGTTACTAATCTACAAAGTCAAAGCTTAACAGTATAGGAAAAGACAAAGGACATCACTTTTAGGTAAATTACAGCTGAATATATATGGAATCGCATTTTATATCTTTACAAATACCAAGAAAAGTCACTGATATTTGTGATAATATAAGAAATGCATAGTGTTAGGGATTTACCACTCATTGTAACATTTGGTCAAAAACCTTTCCTATTTTTCCAAGTCAGAGCTCAGTATTAAATATGTTTTTAAATCCCCAGATAGATTTGTTCCCTTGGATTTGATCTATGGTAATCTTTTAAGAAGTGTGAAGACAGAAACCCTACAAGACATTTTTCTTTCGAGCAACTGTCCCTGGTCAGCCATGGATAAACTGAGTAAAATAGTGGAGGAGGCATCTGCAAGGCTCATGTGAAACAGAACGAGGTTTTGTTTGCCTTTACTACGGCTCCACGTGAGCACCTAACAACCGATCTGCTAAGGCACAGCATAAACGAAAGGACTAACGCAGTGTACAAGTGAAGAACTAGAAGCTGTGGAAGAAATTAACATCACTAAAGACACTACAGTTTCATTTCTCAGCTGCCTGAGCGGTGATGGTTTCAAACACAGGCTGTGTTTGAAGAGAGGAGAGAAAGGAGCCTGGGCAGCGACCAGTCCTTCACCAGTGGGGGGCGCTCTCCGCCCTTGGTGCCCCCGACCTTCGTCTACCTTCACGGGCACCCAAGGGTCCCCTCAGCCCCAGCTTCCACCACTGAGTGCCACCACAGGACAGCAGCGGCCACAGGTAGTGGACAGTGCTTCCCCACAGCTACAAGGCTTGCTGGCTTCAGGTGACCACTGCCCCTTCCCGGGCCCCAAAATGGTGGTGTCACTGGTCACTGTCGGCCCTGGGTTCCTCACCTTCTCTCGCCATTCTCTCTACTTTGCCCACACCTTAGGAACGATCCCTGCATTCCAGCCACCACTTTCAAATTCTCCACCTCTCCTTGTTCCTCTATGGCGAATGTCTGTGGTTTTACCTCTCTAGGATTCATCCATTAGCCCAGCAGCCTCGTTTTCTGTACAAGAACCGCTCCTTTTTTTTTTTCAGCTTTAATTGAGTTTATTGGTACATTTTAGGGATACAGTACAGTTACATTCATTGTTGGGATCTTGTATCTCTACATGACAGGTCTTGGTTCTCATTTTTTCCCCTTGTACCTGCCCTCCCTTCACCCCCTCCTCCCCTCCCCATCTACAACCACTTTATTTCCATCTTTTCATTATCTCACATTTTTTTCTTTTCCCTTATTACCCTCCCCTACCCATCCCACCTTCCCTATACCTTTAGCTCCTTTCTTCCCATTTCTCAATGTCAGTAACCTTATTAGGATCTTCTGTATTACTGTAGATTATTCACACCAGAGAAACTATTCAGTATTTACACATGTGTGCCTTATGTATTTCACTTAGGAGTATATCTTCAATATGTATCCATTTTCCTATGAATGAATCTATTTTCTCATTCTTTATGGCTGAGTAATATTCCATTTTATAGAAAAACCACATCTTCTTTATCCAGTTTCCAATGGATGGGCAAATATAGGCTGTTTTCAAGTTTTAGCTATTACAAACTGTGCCACTATAAACATGGTGCACATACTTCTCTGTGATATGATTCTTTTAGTTCTTTTGGGAAGATACCCAGCAGAGGGATGGCTGGGTCAAATGGAACCTCCAGTCCAAGCTCTTTAAGGTATCTCCATATTGATTTCCATAGTGGTTGCACCAGTCTGCACTCCCACCAACAATGGAGAAGGGTTCCTTTCTCCCCACAACCCTGCCAACATTTATTTTTGGCAAAGTCAAGGACAAAAACCATATGATCCTCTCCATAGGTGCAGAAAAAGCATTTGATAAAATTCAACACCCATTCATGATAAAAACCCTGCCAAAAATTGGAACAGATAGTCTCTATCTCAACTTAATAATGGCTATCTATGAAAAACCAACAGCCAACATCATATTAAATGGCCAAAAACTGAAAACCTTCATGTTAAAATCAGGAACAAGACAAGGATGCCCACTATCACCACTCCTCTTCGATATAGTCTGGAAACATTAGCCACAGCAATTAGACAAGAGAAAGAAATTAAAGCAATAAAGATAGGAAAGGAAGAAGTTAAACTGTCATTTGCTGATGATATGATACTCTACATAGAAGACCCAAGAAACTCCACCAAAAGACTTCTAGACTTAATTGACAGATTCAGTAGAGTATCTGGATACAAGGTGAACACCCAAAGATCAATAGCCTTCTTATACACAAATAACAGACTCACTGAGAAAGAAATAAGGGAAAAAATTCCTTTTACAATAGCATCCAAAAAAATGAAGTATCTAGGAATCAATCTAACAAAAGAAGCAAAAGACCTCTACACTGAAAACTACTGCACTCTGAAAAAAGAAACTGAAGAGGATATAAAAAAATGGAAAGATATTCCCTGCTCCTGGGTAGCAAGAATCAACATAGTGAAAATGGCCATACTACCAAAACTTCTATATACATTCAATGCAATGCCAATCAAAATTTCAACACTATATTTCACAGAACTAGAAAAAAGAATCCAAAAATTCATTTGGAACCATAAGGGACCTAGAAAAGCAAAAGCCATTTTAGGCAACAGACACATGGGACCAGGTATAACAATTCCCAATTTGAAACTATACTATAAAGCCACTGTGATAAAAACAGCATGGTACTGGCAAAGAAACAGGCCTGAGGATCAGTGGAACAGACTGGAAGACACAAAAACAAACCTAGATGCACTCAGCTACCTCATTTTTGACAAAGGAGCTGACCATCCTCAGTGGAGGAAAAATAGCCTCTTTAATAAATGGTGTTGGAAAAACTGGATTTCAACCTGCCACAGATTAAACCTAGACCCTTATCTTTCACCATGCACTAAATTAAAATCCAAATGGATTAAAGATCTAAATATTAAAACAGAAACATTAAACTTGCTGGAAAGTAAATTAGGCACAACTCTGGAAGACATTGGTATAGGAAAAGACTTTATGAACAAATCCTCAGTAGCACGGGAACTAGCAGATAGAATCAACAACTGGGATCTCATCTTATTAAAAAGCTTCTGTACTTCAAAAGAAACCATCAGCAGAACTAAAAGACAACGTACAATGTGGGAAAAAATTTTTACTAGCTGCTCCTCAGACAAAGGACTATTATCAAGAATATATAAAGAACTCAAAACAACCAGCCCCCCCAAATATAAAGGCCCGATTTAAAAATGGGCATCAGAAATGAACAGACATTTCTCAGACAAAGAAGTAAAAGCAGCAAGTAAATATATGAAAAAATGTTCCACATCACTGGTCATTGGAGAGATGCAGATGAAAACGACACTGAGATTCCACCTCACCCCACAAAGAATGGCTGCTACCAAGAACCGCTCCTTTTTATCTCTCCCTGTGCAAGATTAGGTGGGGCTGACCTTAGCGCCAATCAGGGCCATTGGCCGACGCAGCCAGGTGAGCTTTCTTAGACATTGTCTCAGCATTTGCACTGGAATGACTGGGGCCAAAGGTCCCCACGCAGACAGAGCCAGGTGTCAGGGAAGCAAACCTTGAACCATCAGGCCAAGTCTCCAGGACCTGCTTGGGAAGACTCAGTGCGGTGCGCAGGGGAACCAAAAGACGGAGAGGTGCACAGAACATCGTTATCGGAACCGCTGGGTCCCCCGCGCCTGCGGGCCGCTCTCGGATTCTGGTTATCAGAAGCCGCCCATCCTCTTTTGGCTCCACCTAAGTTGCCTTGTGCTTTCTGCCTTGCATCTGAAAGATTCATAACTAGCAGTCCCTCTCCTAATAAAGTATGCACCTGGAAAGAGTAAAAAGCAGAGTGTTCGACTGTGACTTTAAAAAGCGTATCAACCATCCAGATGTGTGTGGCTGCTCTGATCAAGAACCCTAATGCACAAAGCCACAGAAGGCTGCCCGTAGTTCGTGTTTCCCACCATCTATGGCCTGTTAGAGTGTGGCTCACGGGGAGGTCAGACTGTTCCCTAAGCCCGGTTTGAAGGGACAGCACTCAGGTGTACGCACAGCGGCAAAAGCTCGGCCCTCTAAAGAGCAGAAAGGGTAACTCAAGAGGGTAACTCCCTCAGAGAGTTGTGCAGTCACCAACATAGACCCGACCTTGGGAAAGTCAGTGGCAGGGATGGTGATGCCGATATGAATCCTTTGCCCTCTCTGCTGTCCTCCCAGAGACGGAAATTTCGCCTGCATCCTCTCTGAACACAGCCCTCCCTGCTCCTGCCTCCCCCAGAGCAAGAGCTGGTTAACGACAACCCTCAGACCAGGCTGGCTTCACAGTGCAGACAGCAGGCGGGCAGGTAACATCTGGAAACAAGCCCAGAGGAGCCACTCGAGAAGTCCTTGCTATTACCCTCACACCTCCCTTCAGCGCCTTCGCACAGGGCTGGAAACTCAGGTCATTCCTCAGTTCGCATTCACCAAGCAGAGGCCACCTGCAACCTGCCGCACACCCAGAGTGGTCAGGGGGCGGGGTTGGTGGGATGAGGACACAGTGGGCGGCCAGCGCGACGGCTGTGCGCAGAGCGCAGCCCAGGGCAGGGCCTTTGCCGGTTCCCTCCCCACAGAGGCCGGTACAGGACGGCAAGGGGCCTGGTGCTTACCTTCTGGGCGAGCCAGCCCAGGTGCCGGACCTCGTGCCCCCCAGCAAGGCCCACCTGTGCCAGCTGCTCTCTGACCTCTCTGAGCACGCGGGGCAGCAGGTCGCTCACGCTGGTGTGGATGGCGCTGAACCAGGCCTGGGCGGTGGCCGAGTCCTTGCTCCTGAGGATCACCACATGCTTGGCGTCTGGGGAGTGGATTTCAAACTGCCTGGAGGGACAAGGAGAGGAAAGGTCAGGGCCGAGCCGTGCAGCCAAGCCTGGCCTAATGCTTCTCGCCCCTCGGAGACCGTGCCACTTCCTCAGGCTTCACCACGGCGGTGCCCGCTTGCCCTCCACTGGGAGGCTCCCGGTCCCCAGACACTCAGGGGTGGCTCTGCTCAGGCCCGGGAGCTTTGCTGTGTAGCCCCACACCCAAGTCCCGAAGCTGCTTTTCCGCCACTGAGTGGACAGCCCGCAGCAGCAACGCCTGGAGACGTGCACGGAGCGAGACTGTGCAGCCCAGTTTAGAATACAAAGATCAGATTTCAGGTCCTCCGGGACCCTTGTCTGCAGAACACGTGACCCTGTGTGAACGAGTGTGTGGTCTGGGGAGGGTCGCAGCGGGAAGGAGGTGCCACAGTGTCACATTTAAAAGTCAGACACCCACGCCGGTACGGCACTCAGACTGTTTACTGAGACTGGGAAAAGGAGAAAGTCCTAGGAAGACATTTCCAGACTCAGAAGAAATCCGAGAGGGCCGGGGAGTTGCACCGCTGGTCCAGAGAGGTCCGTGCTCCCTCCTCCCACTGTGCCAGGACAGCTGCATTTTGGGTCTATAGGACAGCGCCACACTAGGAAGCCAGCACTGGCACGGGGGAGTGCACAGCTCTTGCCACGTTAGCACGTGCATCCCTGAATAAACACGCGCCGTCCAGACGCAGGGCCACCTAGACTCAGGAAGATCTGCCACAGCCCGCGCTTCACAGTCACATGCCTAGACTACCACCGCGGTCATCCATCTGCCTGCCATCGCCTACTATCTATGCACTGTCTACTCCTGTCACCTACCTACCTACCTGCCTACCTACTGTCCGGCAATCATCTATCCATTTGCAGTACCCGATGTTCACGCTCCTTGTGTGGAGCTGGTACAGGTACATAACACATCTTCATTCCTTCTTTGCATTTTTCATTCCTTTCTCTCCTCCCCCGATCCCTTCTCTTCCTCTCTCGACCCCCTTCTTATTTGGACAGATCTAGCTCCTTACTTGGGTCTATCATCTATCATCAATCTCTTCTTTGGATCTTTATTTATATTTTGAGTTTCTCAAGAGAAACCACTTAGCATTATGGTCTCCGAGTGCATTCATTTTCCTATGGGTGATTCAGGTGTATCCGTCTTTGTGGCAGAGTAGCGCTCCTTTATGTGTGAATACCACATTTCCTTCGTCTGTTCATTTGCTCATGGACATATACGACAATTTCAAGATTTAACTGTTATGAAGTGTGCCGCTGCAGACATAGGTACGCGTGTATCACCGGAGTCTGATGTCTGTAGCTCTTGTGAAAAGACGTCTAGAAGGGACTAGCTGGGTGGAATGGAATTCCCAGTTTTGGTTTTTTGAGGACTCTCCACATTGCTTTCTATAGTAGTTGTAGTAGTTTACAGTCCCACCAACAATGTACAAGGGCTCCCACCCCCACAGCGTCCTCCACATTTGTTGTTAACTTCCCGATGATGGCCGTTCTTTCTGGGTTAAGATGGAATCTCAGTGCTGTTTAATTTGCATTTCTCTAATGGCCAGCAACATGGAGCATTTCTTCATGCGTATATCAGGGATCCGCACTTCTTCATTTGAGAAGTATCTATCTATTTCAGATGCCCACTTTATTGGGTCTTTAAATTTGCAGAGTCCAGTGTTTTTAGTTCTTTGTATCATCTAGATATTAATCCTCTGAGAAATAGCTGGCAAAAATGTTTTTCCCATTCTGTAGGTTTTCTTTTCACGCTGGTGGTTGTTCCTTTGCTGTGTTAATTTGATATAATCCCATCTGTTGATCCTTGGCACTATTTCCTGTGTAATCAGAAAGAACTTTTAGAGAGAATGTTTTATTCCAGGGAAACTATTTTACTTACTCATTCAAGTGTACATAGAGAAAAGTATATTTATTCATTCGAGAAAGATATAAGGATTGGGAAATTCAAAACTGAATAAAAATTATCCATTTATTAATTGCCTTTCATCCCTTCACAGTTATGCCATCACCCACTAAAAATTTATTGCATACTAGGCGAAGTTTTAAATCCTTTTATATTTACATGTAATGTTCCTAATAGTTCTGTGACTGTTATTATTTATCCCATTTGACAGAAGAAAAAAATTAAAGTTTGGAAGGAAAGAAAGAAGTTATTTACCCAAGTCCACCTGGCGAGGGCTGCTGGAATTCCAACCATATCCAACAGACTTAGAAGGTTATGGATTCAGTCAGGCATGGTGGTGCACACCTCTGATCCCAGCACCCAAGAGACTGAGGCAGGAGGATTACTGTAAGTCAGAGGCCAACCTGCCTGGACTACACAGAGAGTCCAAGGCCAACCTGAACTGCAGGTTCAGGTTTGAGACAGAGAGACCCTGTCTCAAAAAAATTTTTTTAAAAGGTTATGTATTCAATATCTATACTTTAGATTAGATGACATTCAGCAGCAGGGCAACCACTGCGCATGGTCTTCTGCAGCCCCTGAAGCCAGGAACCCATCACCAACCCTCATGGTCATCATGCTGCCTTAGCTCCTGAGCTGCAAAACAGCAACTGTGCAGATCCCCTGAAGTTAGACGTTCCTGCACACCTGGCCTCATGAACGTCCAAAGCCAGCCTCTGAGAATAAACCTAAGTAACAAACAAATTGCAGGGAAGGACTGGCTGGGAAAGTGCGATGTCTCCGGAGGAGTTTCAGCAGTAATTAGCATTCTTAGAGAAATGTGCAAAACTCGGGAGGTTTAATGTGGTGCAAGAAGGGGGCGCAGGTTACGTCTGTCTTAGTCCAGAAGACAAAACAATCTCTTGCCTCTAGGTAAGAAATGGGCAGCAAACGTAGTGTGGCTTTTCCGTTCCTCCTGAAGTTCTTATTCTTCTGTAAAGTTTCATGCAGAAGACAGACTAGGATTCCCAAAAGCATTAAAGAGAGCTCAATTTGCTTTTCAAATTATTCTATCAATATCTGTTATTCTAGGAATTAGAAACATGAAAATACTTCACTTATGGGCTTTTGAAGACCTGGATTTGCTTTTCAGGAAATGACAGCTGGGGAAGCAGCTTCTCCCCAAGTCTCTCTCTGTCTCTCTCTGTCTCTCCCTCTCTCTCTCTCTCTCTCACACACACACACACACACACACACACACCACACACATACACACAAACACACACTAACATCAGCAAAAAGGGAGACAGACTTTTGTCCGCTGGTTGCTCGCACGTCTCTAGGAGAAAGCAGATTCACAAACCGAACAGCTGCAGTCTGACAATGGGGATGCCCATTACCTTCAGACTTTGATAGCATCTGTCACTACTATTAACTTTTAAGTGAACTTTATAAAGTACACACGCAAACAGAAACCTGCCCAAATCATAGGTGTGCAGCTTCAATGTGTTTTTGCAAAACAAATATACCTGTGTTGCCACCACTGGGATCACGGAGTAGGAAATCACAGGCCGGCCAGCAGTCGCGCATCCCACTTTCTGGTGACCGTCCTCCAAAATAGGGGCCCTGCTGGCTCCGACAAGGAAGCTCAGTTTTTGTTTCTTTTCATCTGTTGCAGTTGTCTGAGTAGAAAGAGGACCCAGGACGATTTCCGAGGCCGAGTTCTGTCCTTTTTCCCGGTGGTTTCCACGTGGGCACCGGGCAGCACCACGGGACGGTGTAGGAACGCACGTCATCGGGAACAGCGAGCTGCGGCTGGCAATAGCCCTGCAGGTGAGCCTGATGCCCCGCAGGCAGCTGGACAAGGCCAATCTGCTGGCCCCAAGGCAAAGCAGTGCCAAGGGATGGGTGGGACCTGTGCACGGTGACCAGAGCTCCCCACAAACAGCTCTCAAAGACAGGACACAGAATAGAGAGCCCGTGGCTTTGTACAGCAGTTCTCACCCAAAATTAGCATTAGAAATCCTTGAGTAGCTTTCTTTCTTCCTATAACAAAATCATTTAGTTGGGTACAGATGTCTGAACCCCACACCAGACCTACTAAGACTGTGCAGGCTGAAGCGGGGTACACACCTCAGATTCTCCACAAGTTTTACTGACTAAGGACCACGACAGCCTCTCTCGGCCAGGCTGCTGTCCCCTAATGACCTGCAGTGCACACTGGTGATCGTCAGCGAACAGGCAACAGAGCAGAGGGTCCTGGAGAGGGTATCTGTTATCTACTGCCGAGTAACAAATCCTCTGAGTTAAGTGGCTTAAAACTCCAGACATTTGCTGTCTCACACTTCTGTGTCAGGATTTGGGGAGAGGCTCAGTCAGGGGGCCTGGCTCGGGGTCCCAGAGAGCCTGCAGCTCACGGGAGTGAAGGACCAAGAGGGCTGAACCTGGGGTGAAGACGCACTTCTAAGACAGTGCACTCTCCAGTGCAGGAGGCCTCAGTTCTTTGCTCTGTGGGGCTGGTGAGAGGCTGCTTGAGGGTCTTCCTGACCCAGCAGGGGCTCCCCTAGAGAACAAGGAACTGCTTGTGCTTTTAGGACCTGCTCGTCAAACTCCGACCCTGACTTCTGACTTGCTCTTCTCCTTAGTCACTAAGTCTGACGCACACTAGAAAGGAGGAGAACTGAGTTCCACCAGGATGCACGGGCGGACAGAAGGGAACCTGGGGACGTTACATAAGACAGGCTGTGATGGAGCCAGGCTCTGAAAGGACCCTCCTTCCCAACACAGACGGAGGGCTCTTGGGCTGGGACCTCGCAGCCTGCAAAGAGCCCGCAGATTCAAGGCACAGTGGAAAGCACCGCTCTGCCCAAGATGGGGCTCCAGCCTGGAAGGTGAGACACAGGGTGGCCCTGCACACCGGTCTGAGACGGCAGAAGGGGTGAGACGGAGTGGCACAAGTCACCAACACCACGCAGGTGAGGGGCTGCCGGCTGCTGGCACAGAAAAAGGGTTGATTCTGTGTGCCATGAATAAGTGCAAGTGATCGACACCCACACAACCAATCCAAAGAAAGAGGAAAGCGGGGCACC